AAAAAAATACTGTAATTGTATTCCATTACTCCTCCTTCAATACATTTAAAACATCTCTACTAGGGCTGGACAATATGGTCAAAATTCATATCACGATATATTTCTTAAGTTTGGTCGATACAATATAATTCCGATATCGATATGAACATTGTTAAAAAAAGCCTCATAAAAACTGCCAAGAACACCCACAACAGATGTCTTTACCTACAAACTTATGAAAAATTAATTTGCCAAGTCTATGAAACCTCTTCCTATAAAACGATTTAATTTTTTAGAAAAAAACCCCAGCACAAATAAATTAATGTTCACCTTTTATTTGTATTTAGCCTTCATACAAACAAGAAATATGAAATCACTGTCAAATAAACATCTCAGTCTCACTTTATTAATTATTAATATCTTTAACTTCAAACTATATGCTAACATACACTACCAGTCAAAAGTTTTTAAACAGTAAGATTTTTTATATTTTTTTAAGAATTCTCTTCTGCTCACCAAGCCTGCATTTATTTGATCCAAAATACAGCAAAATCAGTAACATTTTGAAATATTTTGACTATTTAAAATTAGGGCTGAACGATTAATTGCATTTGCGATAATATCGCGATATGAAAAAACGTGATTTTTCAATCGCAGAGGCTGCGATTACACTCGGTCACGTGACAGGCGAGAGTGAAGAGGTGTGTTCCACTTGAAGATCGATCAGTGTATAACATCTAAGTACGGAGAGAAAGCATAAGGAGACGTCCGTGCTCTCTTATAGCTCTCGCAGTACTTTGATGACACACACCCATCGGTCTAAGCAGCGCTGCTTCAAGTCGAGCGCGGGCCATCAGCAGAAAAAGAAAATAAATAAAACAGTAAACAGCCAAAGGACGTAACTTAGAATGGGAGATGGATCGGTTTGTGAAAGCGAAGAGAAAAGCCAAAGATGAAGTCGCACAGACCCAGGCAGGTGCTGGTCATTTAAAAGCTAAATGCAGAAAATATGATGAGGCATATCTTGCTCTCGGCTTCACTGTGTCTATACCGGACGCCGTGCCGCAACAGCTCTACACTGGACGCGACAAAGCGACCGGTGCAAATCATTTTAACTTTGTGTCAGTACGTCATAAATAGAACAAGGTATCAGTTTAATGTCGGGTTTTGTCGTGTCGCGTGTAGAAATCTTTTGTAACATTATAAATGTCTTTATCATCACTTTTGATCAATTTAAAGCATCCTTGCTAAATAATAGTATTAATTTCTATAACCTATTTCTATAATAGACTGGAGTAATGATGCTGAAAATTCACCTTTGATCACAGAAATAAACTACACTTTAAAATATTTCCAAATAGAAAGCAGTTATTTTAAACAGTAAAACATATTTCAAAATTTTACTGTTTTTGCTGTATTTTGGCTCAAATAAATGCAGGCTTGGTGAGCAGAAGAGAATTCTTACAACAAAAAAAAAAGTTCTTAAAAAATTAAAAAATAAATCTTACTGTTAAAAAAGCCTTTGACTGGTAGTGTAGACTGATTATTCTTTTAGATTGAAACAAATGTGCTTTAGCCAGGATAAAGAGTATGAAAAGTGCTCTGAGTTGCTGCAGAAAACAAAACAATTTAGCAACAACAAAAACATGTTGCTGGAGACGGGCTTATTATTGAAAATGCAAACTCATTCTCTGCCAGCAGGAGGCGCTGTGAGAGCAGTAGAACTAGCGGTTTCTACAGTAACGGCTGTAATCAAAGCAGCTCTGCTCATAAACAGTACATTAGCAGATAAAAATGCCGGTGCAAATCATTTTAACTTTGTGTCAGTACGTCATAAATAGAACAAGGTATCAGTTTAATGTCGGGTTTTGTCGTGTCGCGTGTAGAAATCTTTTGTAACATTATAAATGTCTTTATCATCACTTTTGATCAATTTAAAGCATCCTTGCTAAATAATAGTATTAATTTCTATAACCTATTTCTATAATAGACTGGAGTAATGATGCTGAAAATTCACCTTTGATCACAGAAATAAACTACACTTTAAAATATTTCCAAATAGAAAGCAGTTATTTTAAACAGTAAAACATATTTCAAAATTTTACTGTTTTTGCTGTATTTTGGCTCAAATAAATGCAGGCTTGGTGAGCAGAAGAGAATTCTTACAACAAAAAAAAAAGTTCTTAAAAAATTAAAAAATAAATCTTACTGTTAAAAAAGCCTTTGACTGGTAGTGTAGACTGATTATTCTTTTAGATTGAAACAAATGTGCTTTAGCCAGGATAAAGAGTATGAAAAGTGCTCTGAGTTGCTGCAGAAAACAAAACAATTTAGCAACAACAAAAACATGTTGCTGGAGACGGGCTTATTATTGAAAATGCAAACTCATTCTCTGCCAGCAGGAGGCGCTGTGAGAGCAGTAGAACTAGCGGTTTCTACAGTAACGGCTGTAATCAAAGCAGCTCTGCTCATAAACAGTACATTAGCAGATAAAAATGCCGGTGCAAATCATTTTAACTTTGTGTCAGTACGTCATAAATAGAACAAGGTATCAGTTTAATGTCGGGTTTTGTCGTGTCGCGTGTAGAAATCTTTTGTAACATTATAAATGTCTTTATCATCACTTTTGATCAATTTAAAGCATCCTTGCTAAAAAATATATAAAACACCCGCGAGGCGTTTTGATTTTGAAACGTGCAGTGCTCATGTTTATTCAACGAAGTCAAACGTCACAAATAAATCAATGTATGGGAAACACTGGTAATGTATATCGAAATATCGGAAATGTGTTTAAAAATCATATCACCGTTATTGAAAAAAAAATTATATCGCGATACATATTGATTTTGAATTATTGTCCAGCCCTAATGTCTACATTAATAATATAAATTCGACACAAATACCCACATTTCTGACACAATACCATGGTGCAGTTAGTGCTACTACAGTAAATCTATGGTAAATGATGGCAATTTGTAGATTAAAAAGTCTTCTAACTGTATCACTGCGCAGTGTTTCTCCTGTTTGTCAGCGCTGTTTCATCTGGCTGTAAACAGTTATTTGTGTTCTTCACTGAATGCAAGCACTTCACACTGGATCTCACTGCACCGTTTGATTGAGACTCATCAGCGAGTAACGCATCTGCTCTAGTGAAGCTCACGCCGCTGTTTAAACTTTGATCCGAGCGGATAAACGATCCGAGTGACAAACTTCAAATGAGTTGCACTCTTTCGTTCCGCCTTCCGCCTTTTGCTCGAAAATTTATCGACCTCTTGTTATCGTTTATCGAGGAAATTTATATCGCGCGATAATTATCGTTTTATCGATTTTTTCGCCCAGCCCTAATCTGCATTCATGTAGTTGTGTGGGAGTTCAGGTACCTGCTCATCATGGAGTTCAGCCAGATGGCAGAGAGCGACAGCAAAGGCCTCAGTGTTGTTCTGCTGCTCACTAAAGTTCACCGGATCCAGAATGTTCATGTTCAACAGGAGCTGAGCCTGCTGCCGTGCCATAGTGCTACAGAGAACACAAATAATTTCAGCGTAAACTACGTCAAACCTGAAAAAATTAACAGTGGCGCTAGTATCAGTGCAGAATGGATGACCTTACAGTCTGTTTAAAGACTGATGGTATCCAGAATCTGTGTTTTCTGACCTTTTGCCATACATCCTCCATATAGAGGTGGTTTGTGCCAGACTGATTTCTATCAGCTCAGAGAGGCTTTGCTTCCAGTGCATGATGTCGGTTCCTCGCAGGGCGTCCAGCAGCTTGTTGGCCGGCATGCCCTGTTTTGCTCCCTGCTTGACCAGAGACTGAATGCCTAGAGATGCCAAATACTGCCAAACACAACAGGGAGGTGTTAATTATTTACTTCACGGTATAATGACCTTGCAAGAGATTAATATGCACTGGTTTAATGTGCCAGATACCATTTCTTATTGTCTTCTTTTTCACATTCATATATGAAAAGTGCTCTGAGTTGCTGCAGAAAACAAAACAATTTAGCAACAACAAAAACATGTTGCTGGAGACGGGCTTATTATTGAAAATGCAAACTCATTCTCTGCCAGCAGGAGGCGCTGTGAGAGCAGTAGAACTAGCGGTTTCTACAGTAACGGCTGTAATCAAAGCAGCTCTGCTCATAAACAGTACATTAGCAGATAAAAATGCCATCTAAACTATTCTGAAGACAGTCGGTTCCCTTCAGAGATACATTCATATAAAACACCCGCGAGGCGTTTTGATTTTGAAACGTGCAGTGCTCATGTTTATTCAACGAAGTCAAACGTCACAAATAAATCAATGTATGGGAAACACTGGTAATGTATATCGAAATATCGGAAATGTGTTTAAAAATCATATCACCGTTATTGAAAAAAAAATTATATCGCGATACATATTGATTTTGAATTATTGTCCAGCCCTAATGTCTACATTAATAATATAAATTCGACACAAATACCCACATTTCTGACACAATACCATGGTGCAGTTAGTGCTACTACAGTAAATCTATGGTAAATGATGGCAATTTGTAGATTAAAAAGTCTTCTAACTGTATCACTGCGCAGTGTTTCTCCTGTTTGTCAGCGCTGTTTCATCTGGCTGTAAACAGTTATTTGTGTTCTTCACTGAATGCAAGCACTTCACACTGGATCTCACTGCACCGTTTGATTGAGACTCATCAGCGAGTAACGCATCTGCTCTAGTGAAGCTCACGCCGCTGTTTAAACTTTGATCCGAGCGGATAAACGATCCGAGTGACAAACTTCAAATGAGTTGCACTCTTTCGTTCCGCCTTCCGCCTTTTGCTCGAAAATTTATCGACCTCTTGTTATCGTTTATCGAGGAAATTTATATCGCGCGATAATTATCGTTTTATCGATTTTTTCGCCCAGCCCTAATCTGCATTCATGTAGTTGTGTGGGAGTTCAGGTACCTGCTCAGCATGGAGTTCAGCCAGATGGCAGAGAGCGACAGCAAAGGCCTCAGTGTTGTTCTGCTGCTCACTAAAGTTCACCGGATCCAGAATGTTCATGTTCAACAGGAGCTGAGCCTGCTGCCGTGCCATAGTGCTACAGAGAACACAAATAATTTCAGCGTAAACTACGTCAAACCTGAAAAAATTAACAGTGGCGCTAGTATCAGTGCAGAATGGATGACCTTACAGTCTGTTTAAAGACTGATGGTATCCAGAATCTGTGTTTTCTGACCTTTTGCCATACATCCTCCATATAGAGGTGGTCTGTGCCAGGCTGATTTCTATCAGCTCAGAGAGGCTTTGCTTCCAGTGCATGATGTCGGTTCCTCGCAGGGCGTCCAGCAGCTTGTTGGGCGGCATGCCCTGTTTTGCTCCCTGCTGGACCAGAGACTGACTGCCTAGAGATGCCAAATACTGCAAAACACAACAGGGAGTGTTAATTATTTACTTCATGTAGGGCTGCACAAATAATCAAATTTCTAATTGTGATTACAATTATGGATGCCACAATTACGTTACCCAATTAATCGTTCAAAGTCCACTTATGTTATTCTGCGTGCTTAAGGTGCGTGTTTTTCTTTCTACATGTTATCTTAAGGGCTTTTCACATTATTTAAATTTTAGTTTTAGTATAACATTATAATACCATTCATATTTTTACTTTTTTATAATTTAAAGAAGAAACCAATCTGATGTATAGTTGACATTTGAGGCTTAATACTATAGAAAAGCACTAAAAGTTTTTTCAGCTTGTTTATTTTCATATAAAAATACGGCATGCAGTTGCATCAAACAATGGTATAAACATCATTCAATGTAAACTGTGATAATCGCAATTAATAATCGCAATTACAATTTCAAGGGAATAATCGACAATTATGATTTTTGTCATAATCGTGCAGCCCTAACTTCATGGTATAATGACCTTGCGAGAGATTAATATGCACTGGTTTAATGTGCCAGGTACCATTTATTATTGTCTCCTTGTTTCACATTCACATTTGATTTGGGAAAGAAGACATCACAACGAGTTTAAAAGGGGTTTACATTTTAAATAGTTACTTACAGGGAGACAAAAGTGAGCTGCAATTTTCACAGAGTCTTCAGTTAATACCACACTTTCAGATCCTTTCATCTGTTCCAGTGTGTAGAGCCAACTCTAAAACCCAGAAAAAAAGAGAACAATTCTGAATAAAGGGTATATATATATACATATATATATATATATATATATAGGACATACATAATAGGGATGCATAGTAACAAAAGTTTTCAGTATCAGTTATTTTTAACTGTTCATGCTGCTCATATCCCCTCTTCTTATATTTAGATTTCCAGTACCTTTGCTGTCATCTAATGCTCAATTAAAGTGTAATTTAATTTAATTTAATAACTTAAAACCGCTGCTAAATATATAATTTTATATTAAATATTTCATTTAAATACACAATTTTACATACTTTACATTATACTGCTGTGATTCACTTGTCACATTTTAAACAACTGATTTTAGTGTTTAGTGTTTTACTTTAAATTTATTTAGACAACTGTACATAAATTGAATACTGATCATTTACTGGTTACTGGCCATGAAAATAATTATCAGCTTATCAGTATCAGCCCGAATTTTAATACTGATGCATCCTTACTGCGTATATTAATGATGAAAAAGAACAGAGAAACTGCTCCTACCAGACAGTGTTGAAGACACACGTGGTCATTTGCTTCCTGTGCAATGCGGATTGATTCCTGCAGAGCCAAATCAGCCTGTTGACTGCACAAACACAAGCACAGAAAGCAGTTACACTGATATAATGACAGAAATGTTCAGTTTAGAAACTAAGATTCTGTCTGCTCCCTTTATTCCAGCAAAAACTAATGCACTAATACGCACTAGTGTCCGAAGCGACAGTGCAAGGTTGCCAGATTCAAGATAGCGTAGCGCAAACTGCGGCCATAGCCTTCATCTCCGTTGCTCTTCCCCTCTCCACCAGAAAGAATGAGGCGGTCAAAGTAGTGCAGGAGGCTGTGAGTGGAGATGTAGATATCCTGCAGTCGCATGCTGTTCAGATAGCTGAGGTAATGCTGTGGAAAAACAGAGAGAGGCTCAGTTAACAGATTAATCATCTGTTTCTTGTAAGGAAGGATTGCAGCTTACAGCTTCAGCAAAGTCAGGATTGAATTTGAGAATGTTGTTAAGCTCGTCCTGTAGCTTAGCTGGTGACATGGCCTTGTTTTCATCGTTCTTAAGGAGGTATGCCTGAGAAAAAAAAAACATGGTGACAATTAAATGGTGTAAATTGTGTTAATGAAAGTCAAGTCTCTTATACGTTATAACAAACCAGGGTCCGAAATATTGGGAGTTTGGGGCAAAAATGCCACCAAAATGAACAAAAATGGCCCCCAAATTCAAGATACTGGGGCAAAAAATGCACCTGCACAATAAACTAGATTGATTATGACAACACAGTCACATTTAATAAGGTAATTATAAAAATTGCCCTTACGAAGGTAAAAAAAAAAAAAAACCCCCGGGAAATATTTAAAAGGGGGCAAAATTTCCCCTTAAGGGAAAAGTAATAAACTAGATTGATTATGACAACACAGTCACATTTAATAAGGTAATTATAAAAATTGCCCTTACGAAGGAAAAAAAAAAAAAAAGCCCCTGGAAATCATTAACAGGGTGCAAATATTACCCTTAACGGAAAAGATAATTCCTGACTCTGTAACAAACCTGTCGTGCAAGGAAGTATTCTGCTTGTTTCTGAGATAAAGGACCCCAGGTCTCATCAGATCTGATGAAAACAGGGAAAAAAAACATTTATGTCCATTCCTATTTAATTAATACAACCCTGATTGCACTAATAACACAAGTAACACGTTATTCCTCTGACCTCAGTTCGGACTGGTGAAGAGATGCTGTGTCCAGCTCGTCTTTGTCTATGCGGTCAGCGCTGGGATCTTCATTGCTCGTCAGCTCCATGTCTTCAGCGGACAGTTCGGGCTGATTGCCACGACGGCAGTACTGCTGCAGGGACTTGTACAGCTTATACACCTGACTGAAGGACAGGTTATTGTAGGCCAGCAGCATCTGACGCATGAACAGACCTAGAAACACAGAGAGAAAGTTATCAAGAATTCAGTTCCGTGGTCTTAAAAAAAAAGTTCTTCTTAACTACTATATTCATATTGTAACATTTATTATAATTAAAGATATTTTGCCTTTCCAAAATACTCCTTAAAATTGTTCTTCTTTTAACCTCACACATTTTACATTATGAGATTTTTTTTCTACTTAAAAATGGGTTAATGGACAAATATATTAAGGTTTAAAATGTAAAATCTCATGAAACAATGCTAAAGAAAATACTGCATAATTTAGAACAACTAGTAAAACTTCCTAGACTTTTTTCTTAAGATTTTCATCTGGCCACAGAACTCTAAAATTGGGCAATATTTGATAGGAATGGTGGTTATGGCCCTGAAAGAAACACTTATTCGTACCAACAACACTAGTTTTGAAGGCCTCTGAGTCACTGAAAGCACCGGGCAGTATAGTAAAAAAGTGCTCCATATCCTGCAATTCTCCATCAGCCATTAAAAACAACCTGAAAAACAGAAGGCATTGGTTTATTTATAAAATATTCATAACATAAAATCTGACCAAAGCTGAACAGTTGTTTATTAACAGAGACACGTACCTGAGTTGCACAGCACTGACCATGCGAAGACAGCACTCCTCTACTATCTTCAGAAACTGCTCTAGAGTCAAATCTCAGACACAAATCAAACATGTGCTCATATATTGTCATCTAGAAAAACACACCACATGTGTGTGTGTGTACCCCTGTAAAAATGAAGCGTGCTTAATTGCATTGAATGTGAACTCGGAACTTTTGGGTGTTATTTAATATTACAAGTAAATACATTGTAAATGTACTACAGTACAACTTCATCGTTACAAATGTATAACACAAATATATTTAAATAATTCAATAGAAAAGTAGTTAACATAAATGCTTGTAAATACATGCAGCAATGCACTTTAAACATGCACACTGGCCATGGCCTCTTTGGACTTATATTCCTCAAGATACAGCAAAAGCAAGTATATCGGTGCAGTAAATTATATAATTTCATAACGACAATAACTCTGCTGTTATAGCATAAGATAAAATAATCTAGCCTACATTATATTGATAATATGGTAAAACATAAATGGCGTTTCAGGTACAATAATGGCAATTTGAAACCTGTCTTGCATGTGGAAATCTATAATAATAGCCACTATGTTTGATGCGCTAGGTTAGTAATCACAGTGAACATATTCATAAGGAGCATTTGCTAACAACCTGACGGAGACGTTTCTTCAAAATACCCTCCAGTTCCGGTTACGTTTCAGGGCGCGGCGCAGAGCACAGACGAATCGATTGTGTTTTAGTGCGGTTCAGCTCTACGAATCAGTTCGCTGTTATCGCGGATCGTTGCGAAAAATGCAGTTCACGGTTAAATGAAACTCGAGACCGATTTAGTCCGATGTGTATCATATCAGAATGATAGAAAAATCCGACTCAAAAGAACAATTCATTCACGAATCGGGACTGTTACGCAGGGTTGCCAGGTTGTCACAACAAAATCCACCCAATTGCTACTCAAAACTACCCCGACACCTGGTAAAAATCGCCTTCCGGAGGGAAAACACAAGTTTTTTCTTTTCTTTGTTCAATTTATTTGTACAGGGACAACGCACAACAACAGTGTTGTGCCAGAGTTAGCTATAAAGCTAATTTGCATCTGCAGTCCCTGGGCAGGATGTTGTTACAAAATTACAATATTAAGTCACAAACAATATCACATCATGTTTTGGCGGAGTTCCCCTGGTAAAATATGCATTCCAGAGGATAATATCACGTTATTGGGATCGCTTCAACCCGCGGCAACAGTGTTAAGAAGCCCAATTAGAAATCCGGGAAAACCGGGGACTTGGCAACACTGCTGTCACGTTTTAGTACGCGATGCAGAGCGCCGATACATCGATTCCCGTGAGAACAAGCTCTGACAACAGCGTTTTATTTATTTGTCAGCATATAGCTTATTATAGTTTTACATACTTAAGTTATAACTCAGATCATTGTATCAATATTCCTGAGACAAATACGCTCATCTTGTTTAATGGTTGAATCAGGGGTGTGTAAATAATGAAGAAAGTTATTGTGATATTACATACGGTAACTTAGAGGTCGCCAATGTTCAGAATATATATGTTGCATGACATGGTGCTACAGACAGTTGTCTGAAAATAAGATGTTCACATGGTAGGTCTGTGTACAGGTAAGAGAGTAGAGCAGTGTTGCTAGCTGGGTTCACACTTAACCGGAAGGAACTCGGTCATGTTAATACAGCTTGGGGTTTTTTTGATCTGTTCACAAGCACTAAAAGAGGGTCAAACAAAACTTCAGCTTACAGTTTGGCAACACATTTATATCACTAAACAACAATTCTGATTCTGATCTACACAAAACCTTTTATTTTGACTTAAGTTGATCTGAAACTACTGATCGATGTCTGCTTGTCATCTGTTAGAACAGCAACAGTCAGTGACCTGCGACTCAATTATCCAGGATCGCTTTATCTATTAATAACAAACATTACTATAACTAAATTCATATTTAACACTAATTATATTTGATCACAACTTCTTATGCTTACAATGTTAATTATTTAGGTTAATAACTTTTAGGATAATAATATCGAGGGGGGGGGAATGGTTCTAAGAGGCAAACTAACTTCACCTGGGATCAAACAATCATGCTAAAATTATTAAACCTCATAAAAACAAAGCAACTCCATTCATTATATTTAAGTGTAATAAATATAGCATAAACTACTCTCATCCCAATGCACGAACTTCCGCTGCACTATTGGAGGTAAGAGATGATTGGCTGTTTGATAGTGCGTCACAGGGTTTCCACCGCTGTGATTGGCTGGAAACGCTTCATCACGGTTGCATAGCGATCCTGGTGCGGCTGTGGACAGCGACTAAAATGAAGAGTTAGCCGTTCACGAGCAACGGCCAGGCCGCCTTTACATACAGCTGGGTGACTCCCCGCGGTGTCCTGGAGTTGCTATGAAGGTACAGTCATTTCTCCTCATACTCGTTTAGTTTTGAACATGCTTCTTTTGTGGCTGTGTATCATGCTAGCATTACTAATCTGCTGCATTTGCTAGATCTAAATAACATGGTGAAATGAACGTTACTTGCAGAAAGACAGCAAAACCACCATAAGCTGACTTGCTTAGCCCGGGCGAAATCATGAAGTCATGATTTTAGTTCTGAAGTTTGAGGGTTGCCAGGATATTTAAAAAAGAAACGCCCAATTGCTGCTAAAAACTACCGCTGGAAAACCGCGGACTTGGCAACACTGCGAAGTTGCGCAGGCGCTGTGAGGGGGAACAGGGGAACTGAATTCGCCGGAACACCGGTTACGTTTCAGGGCGCGGCGCAGAGCACAGACGAATCGATTGTGTTTTAGTGCGGTTCAGCTCTACGAATCAGTTCGCTGTTATCGCGGATCGTTGCGAGTCGGATATGTGCGAAAAATGCAGTTCACGGTTAAATGAAACTCGAGACCGATTTAGTCCGATGTGTATCATATCAGAATGATAGAAAAATCCGACTCAAAAGAACAATTCATTCACGAATCGGGACTGTTACGCAGGGTTGCCAGGTTGTCACAACAAAACCCACCCAATTGCTACTCAAAACTACCCCGACACCTGGTAAAAATCGCCTTCCGGAGGGAAAACACAAGTTTTTTCTTTTCTTTGTTCAATTTATTTGTACAGGGACAACGCACAACAACAGTGTTGTGCCAGAGTTAGCTATAAAGCTAATTTGCATCTGCAGTCCCTGGGCAGGATGTTGTTACAAAATTACAATATTAAGTCACAAACAATACAGTACACACAACACATACAATATCACATCATGTTTTGGCGGAGTTCCCCTGGTAAAATATGCATTCCAGAGGATAATATCACGTTATTGGGATCGCTTCAACCCGCGGCAACAGTGTTAAGAAGCCCAATTAGAAATCCGGGAAAACCGGGGACTTGGCAACACTGCTGTCACGTTTTAGTACGCGATGCAGAGCGCCGATACATCGATTAAATGGCGTTTCAGGTACAATAATGGCAATTTGAAACCTGTCTTGCATGTGGAAATCTATAATAATAGCCACTATGTTTGATGCGCTAGGTTAGTAATCACAGTGAACATATTCATAAGGAGCATTTGCTAACAACCTGACGGAGACGTTTCTTCAAAATACCCTCCAGTTCCGGTTACGTTTCAGGGCGCGGCGCAGAGCACAGACGAATCGATTGTGTTTTAGTGCGGTTCAGCTCTACGAATCAGTTCGCTGTTATCGCGGATCGTTGCGAGTCGGATATGTGCGAAAAATGCAGTTCACGGTTAAATGAAACTCGAGACCGATTTAGTCCGATGTGTATCATATCAGAATGATAGAAAAATCCGACTCAAAAGAACAATTCATTCACGAATCGGGACTGTTACGCAGGGTTGCCAGGTTGTCACAACAAAACCCACCCAATTGCTACTCAAAACTACCCCGACACCTGGTAAAAATCGCCTTCCGGAGGGAAAACACAAGTTTTTTCTTTTCTTTGTTCAATTTATTTGTACAGGGACAACGCACAACAACAGTGTTGTGCCAGAGTTAGCTATAAAGCTAATTTGCATCTGCAGTCCCTGGGCAGGATGTTGTTACAAAATTACAATATTAAGTCACAAACAATACAGTACACACAACACATACAATATCACATCATGTTTTGGCGGAGTTCCCCTGGTAAAATATGCATTCCAGAGGATAATATCACGTTATTGGGATCGCTTCAACCCGCGGCAACAGTGTTAAGAAGCCCAATTAGAAATCCGGGAAAACCGGGGACTTGGCAACACTGCTGTCACGTTTTAGTACGCGATGCAGAGCGCCGATACATCGATTCCCGTGAGAACAAGCTCTGACAACAGCGTTTTATTTATTTGTCAGCATATAGCTTATTATAGTTTTACATACTTAAGTTATAACTCAGATCATTGTATCAATATTCCTGAGACAAATACGCTCATCTTGTTTAATGGTTGAATCAGGGGTGTGTAAATAATGAAGAAAGTTATTGTGATAATACATACGGTAACTTAGAGGTCGCCAATGTTCAGAATATATATGTTGCATGACATGGTGCTACAGACAGTTGTCTGAAAATAAGATGTTCACATGGTAGGTCTGTGTACAGGTAAGAGAGTAGAGCAGTGTTGCTAGCTGGGTTCACACTTAACCGGAAGGAACTCGGTCATGTTAATACAGCTTGGGGTTTTTTTGATCTGTTCACAAGCACTAAAAGAGGGTCAAACAAAACTTCAGCTTACAGTTTGGCAACACATTTATATCACTAAACAACAATTCTGATTCTGATCTACACAAAACCTTTTATTTTGACTTAAGTTGATCTGAAACTACTGATCGATGTCTGCTTGTCATCTGTTAGAACAGCAACAGTCAGTGACCTGCGACTCAATTATCCAGGATCGCTTTATCTATTAATAACAAACATTACTATAACTAAATTCATATTTAACACTAATTATATTTGATCACAACTTCTTATGCTTACAATGTTAATTATTTAGGTTAATAACTTTTAGGATAATAATATCGAGGGGGGGGGAATGGTTCTAAGAGGCAAACTAACTTCACCTGGGATCAAACAATCATGCTAAAATTATTAAACCTCATAAAAACAAAGCAACTCCATTCATTATATTTAAGTGTAATAAATATAGCATAAACTACTCTCATCCCAATGCACGAACTTCCGCTGCACTATTGGAGGTAAGAGATGATTGGCTGTTTGATAGTGCGTCACAGGGTTTCCACCGCTGTGATTGGCTGGAAACGCTTCATCACGGTTGCATAGCGATCCTGGTGCGGCTGTGGACAGCGACTAAAATGAAGAGTTAGCCGTTCACGAGCAACGGCCAGGCCGCCTTTACATACAGCTGGGTGACTCCCCGCGGTGTCCTGGAGTTGCTATGAAGGTACAGTCATTTCTCCTCATACTCGTTTAGTTTTGAACATGCTTCTTTTGCTAGCATTACTAATCTGCTGCATTTGCTATCAGCTCGATTAGTAACTACTGATTTCCAGTTTAGCATTTCATGCATATTTGCGTTGTGTGATTTTGTGCATTGATGACATGTCTTAAATAAACGTGTATCAATCAGCATCTAGCAGTTAATATCATTTATGTGTTTAATATCAGTGTCCCAAGTGTTAAATGCATTGCTCATTAATGTGGCTGTTTGTTTTGAACTCTTCTGCTCTCATGTTTTCATTTGTTGGGAGGTGAGACCCAGCAACAGGACCGAGCCTTCACTGTGCCACACAATGACACAATTGGGAGTTGATTATCATGTTGGCTCCCTATGAAAATAAAAACACCATGGTTACTCTCTGTTGAGTGTCACTAAGAGCTCTGGCTGCAGTCATAAGTCATTTAAAGCTCACTAATCTCTTGTTATGGCTTAGCCCTATTCCCATCCGTCTCTAATGGGATTGATCCCAGTCAATGGGAACTATTTCTGGGCAGGACATTCTGAATGACCCAGAAAATGTGGGATAATAAGGCACAGCAGCTCAGATTTACTATTGTTATCTTGCACATACACTCACAATTGCAATTTTTACACATTGGAGTCTTAATTAGAGGTGTAACAATATATTGCGTCACAATACAACAATGCAATAATATGTATTGTGGATAGCAGCAATATGCATCATGTATCGTCGACAAATTTATAGGCCAATTTAGTTTAGACCGATTTAATTTAGGCCTTTATTCATATGTAAATAAAGATCAATGCACATACAAAGAGCGCATCAAATATGATAAACCTAGACGCTCACACGTTTGAGTCCCCTTGTTTATTAAATTTGGTATGAAACGGAAGTTCTAATCACCTTTTCTTTCTCCTATTTATGATAAATTATTTTGAGTAAAGATTCTGAGGGCACATGAATTTAAAAAAACGTGCACGTATAATTTAGAATAATAAACACTGCAATCATCTATAGTCAATTTTGATTTCACAGTGACTTTAATTATTATTAATAAATTACAAATAAAATGCATAAATAAATGACAAGAAAATAAAGATTTTCAATGTATGTAGTCAGGGACAACGTGTCTAACACAATTCTGCATTTTTAGCTGTGCAGAATCATGGATATTTCTATTCTGGTTAACAAACAGTACCTTTTGTTTACTGGTTAAGTAATCATTTCTGAAAAAGTATAATTTTAACTCCGTTTTGGCTTTGCATCTGCAGTCCCTGGGCAGGATGTTGTTACAAAATTACAATATTAAGTCACAAACAATACAGTACACACAACACATACAATATCACATCATGTTTTGGCGGAGTTCCCCTGGTAAAATATGCATTCCAGAGGATAATATCACGTTATTGGGATCGCTTCAACCCGCGGCAACAGTGTTAAGAAGCCCAATTAGAAATCCGGGAAAACCGGGGACTTGGCAACACTGCTGTCACGTTTTAGTACGCGATGCAGAGCGCCGATACATCGATTCCCGTGAGAACAAGCTCTGACAACAGCGTTTTATTTATTTGTCAGCATATAGCTTATTATAGTTTTACATACTTAAGTTATAACTCAGATCATTGTATCAATATTCCTGAGACAAATACGCTCATCTTGTTTAATGGTTGAATCAGGGGTGTGTAAATAATGAAGAAAGTTATTGTGATATTACATACGGTAACTTAGAGGTCGCCAATGTTCAGAATATATATGTTGCATGACATGGTGCTACAGACAGTTGTCTGAAAATAAGATGTTCACATGGTAGGTCTGTGTACAGGTAAGAGAGTAGAGCAGTGTTGCTAGCTGGGTTCACACTTAACCGGAAGGAACTCGGTCATGTTAATACAGCTTGGGGTTTTTTTGATCTGTTCACAAGCACTAAAAGAGGGTCAAACAAAACTTCAGCTTACAGTTTGGCAACACATTTATATCACTAAACAACAATTCTGATTCTGATCTACACAAAATTTGTTTTTGAGACTTTAGTCTTTGCAACTTCAGGGATTTTATCTATTCACGAACAGCTTGTAACACTCCAAAGAGAAAGGAAAACTTGAAATCGCATCATATGACTCCTTTAAAATGTCATGAGAGTATTGTATGGTGAGGTCAGTATTGTGTATTGAATATGACACTCCTACTCTTAATACAAGCTCAGAGGTTTGAAAAATACTTTTGAAGATCATTGTCTTTGTATGTTTTTAAAGTCTTTTGTTTTCTTTGCAGGCGGGGGCCTCGTCCATGTGGGCATCGTGCTGTGGTCTGCTGAATGAGGTGATGGGGACTGGAGCCGTGAGAGGGCAGCAGCCAGGATTTGGGGCAGGTGCGGGGCCGTTTCGTTTCGCTCCCACTGCAGGATACTCCACATACCCGCCCACCAACTCCACCAGCACCAGTCTGGTGTGTCAGGCCTGTGGACAAGCCTTCTCTGTCTTTAGAAGGAGGGTAGGTAGACCTGCACACCTGCCACTGCCATTCCATCTTTGTTATGCATATTAAACCTAAAAACATTTCTTAGTTTAAAGACGGCATGAAACACTTTGACAAACACAATTTTCTTTGTCATGTTGACATATGTCCTACTGAATCAGGAAGTTTGGCCCATGTTAACAGGCATTTACTTGTTTTAAACAAAATTGGAGTCACAGCCTGACAATAATGGTTAGTGGGTGGTATTCATTCTGTATATCAGTTGATTTGACAAACATTTTTATACTACCCTGCATGCAAGATGAGTCCTCAATATTTTTGGCCTATTTTCCAAAGAATAGAAAGACTAAATTTTTAAAATCTATTAAAAGTTTGTTGGTCAATTTTAGGAATATGGTAACACATATTAGATGACCTCAGATCTAACTTACATGGACTAAAATGCACAATTTATTTACCTTTTTTAATTAAATGAAAATGCATTCTAGATCAAAATAATTTTTTCCCATAAAAAAGACTTAAGTATATCTTTGAAATATGGTTTAAATGTACTGATGACTATATCGAGCATTTATAGTAAACTAAAATTTGATGTAATTTCAATTGTCTGTCATGTATTTAAATGTATTTGTAATTACACATTTGTAATAATGAAGTTGCATTTGACTACATTTTAAATATTTACTTTAAATGTAATATTGAATAACACACTACAATTACGTTACACTTATAACCCTGCATTTTGTCCTTTTGATTCAGCACAGACTCTCTCTTTTTCTCCACTGTAGCACATCTGTTGTGACTGTAAGAAGAGTTTTTGTTCGCTGTGCTCAGTACTTCAGGAAAACCTGCGCAGATGCACAACTTGTCATCTGCTAAAAGGCACTGCATTCCAGCGTCCACAGCTCATGCGTCTGCGTGTTAAAGACTTGCGGCAGTACCTCACATTACGCAACATTAACACTGATACCTGCAGGTACTTTTGCACAGACATGAGAAACTGAGCATTATTAATAATAGGGTATATTATTACAATATTGTTAGTGTTTTTGAGTTGTTTGAATGCTTTCTTAGGGAGAAGGAGGACCTTGTAGACTTGGTGCTTTGCCATCAAGGGGCAGAAAGTGAGGATGATCCAGACACACCCTCTCTACAGTCACGCCCCCTGTATAGCCCACCGCCTTCAACAGAAGAGCCCACTTCCCCTCTCTCAGCACTCTCTCCAACTCAAGGAGAACCAATCAGTAGGAGCAACAGCTCAGAGTCCACCAATCAGGTGTGTCCTGTATACATTTGGAATAGGTAGTGATTTGTCTTATTTTAAAAACTTCAAGTATTTCGATATGCAGTCTTACAGTAAAAGGAGTACTTGCATAGCAAAAGTTATATAGTAATAGAAAAATTAAATGTATAACTGCACCTGTTTCTGAATATTTGTTGAATTAAGCACTGTCAGAGTTTCCAGTGTTGGCAGCTCCATTAAATTAAATATTTCATATACATTATAGCTTGACTGCAGGTTTAAAAAAAACAGTGAATTGTTATAATTAAAGAAATTAAACTGAAAGACAAAATTAAATATGACTAACTTGGTGATAATTGCACAAAGAAAATCAGAGAGAAACATTGGACCTTATGAAAAAAATAATTTAATGAAGAGGCTTAAATTCTGTGCACTGTTTATAATTTTTAGAATCACGATAAAAATGTCCACGTTCATCGTGAATCTAAAATTTGATTTTCTTCTCCTCACAAAATTAAATTCATATAATTTCAAACAGATTTGATAACAGAAACACAGTCACAGTGTGAGCAGAGTGGGTAGACAACATAATCAGATATCGGATATTCTGTATGGTGATTATTGATCAAATAATTTTTTTTCACATATCACCCAGCCCTAGTAATGATTAATAATGCATTTTACTGGTAGGGTTAAGGGTCATAAAAATGTATCTTCTGTGATGTTTTACCCCCATTATCCCATTCCATCTGTGCCCGTCATTATGTATTATATAACCAGGGTTCAAATAAACTGCATAATGCAAGAGTTGGGATGTAGTGATGCACCAAAATGATTTTTTTTTTTGTTGACCGAAACCGATACGGAAAATAACATTTTGGTAATAAAATTTTGGCAATTTAGTCAGTGAACTCTGTATGCTATTCAGAATGTTATGATTATTTCACATACATTTTTACATACATACTCAAGCATAATTTTTGGCCATGGTAAAGTGTGCCCACACTTTTTTCTTATACACATTTTGTGTATGAAACAGCTAACACATCATTGGAGAAACGCTAACTGTTTCAAATAATGGTTTCTGTCCACCAAAACGACTACTGACGAAAAATTTTAGTTTTTATAGCCATTTCGGCCGAATATTTTTGTTGCCATAATTTGGGTGCATCACTAGTTGGAGGTATTCATTTTAAATGGTGGCCATCTTTGGTTGTGTTTGGTTCATCATACAGGAAATAAACTCATTGATTAAAGTCCAAAGTATACTTCGGGTTTTTTTAGGCACACAGTCAAATGCTCAGCCTTTCATAGTACTCCATTTGACAGCGCGCGCGTGAACGCAAACGCTCGACATGTGCGCTACAAAGATTCAGCCTTGTCCAGTGTCAGTGCTTTTTCTCTCTAAAAGTGATAAATATGTCTTTATACACGTTAAAATTAGAGTTTTTTTTTTTTTTTTAATCCGCTAACACAAGCATTCGTCAACACGGGCATCTATTGTTTTTGACGTCTTGAGTAGTTTGTTGTTCTTCTTGTTCTGTGTCCTCTGTTTCTTTTCCGATTGTAAAAACTAAAAATATTTAGTGCAAAAAAGAAAAATCAAAGCGCAAAACGTATGTGTAAAAACCAAAGTATACTTTGGGCTTTATTCAAGATCCTGTCCTTACAGAGAGATTGGCACCTGTAGTATTGAAACATCTTTTTTTTCTCACTGCAGATGGTTGCAAAACCCAGTTATCAAATGACGACAGCCTGTGTCGCATCTGCATGGACGCAATAATAGACTGCGTGCTGCTGGAGTGCGGTCACATGGTCACCTGCACTAAGTGCGGGAAGCGCATGAGCGAATGCCCTATCTGCAGACAATACGTTATCAGGGCTGTGCATGTTTTCAAGTCTTAATACTGCTGGGAGAACATCCCGCTCCACCTGCGGACCGTTTTGCATTAGAGACTCGGTGAGGATGTGCACAGCAAGTGCCCCGTCTTTACATTGGATCAGTGCGTAAGATAAAATTCTCTGCTTAATTTTTCATGAAGTTTCAGGAAGCCTTCAGACAGTGGTCCGCAATGGCTTTGTCCATAAATGCTTCAATAAAAACTTTCCGCAAGCTCTTCAAAGAGGCTCTGTAATAATATGCAATTGTTCAGCAGCAACACCTCACAGCCTTGATTTGATGTCCTACAGCTTTGAAGACATTCTGCTCACCTGTCACATGCAAGCACTGTGAGAAACTCAAAATATTGAGAATTACTCATGTGTGTTCATCATCATGCGCCATAACTCAGGATGGAAGGATCTGAATGTTCCTGTTGTTCTTTTATTTCCATTTTTGTTGCAACATCTGTGTATGGGCTTTTGTTTCCCGTTTGGATTGTGTAGCCTCTTAAGATTTTTGAACAAAGTTTTGGAGTTTCTACATGTTACATTATACCTCCTTATAACTTGACACTGGTACCATTCGGTCAGTGATTTCATAAGTGGCATAATGAACATGTTTTGTGGTCATTCTCTGGATTCAGCAGTTTTTTATCATATGACTTCCTTTCTTTGTCAGATGTCTTAAGAACATTTGCTAGTTTCTCAGTCACCACTGTTCTTTTGAGTATGTGACTGGAAAAGCAGCCTAGAAACCTGTTGTTAAATCAGTGTAAGTGGTGATAAATGAGAAGGGATAGAACTGTTTTGTATGCAAAGTAGGACCATAAATGGGCACAGTGTAACTGAGTGTCAATATAATTCGAAAATGTGCATTTTATGTATGTGCAAAGTAACAATAACTTAATCAAAATGCAGTGTAAAACAAGAGGGATGATTAAGGTGCCAAAAGATGCCTTTCTCTGTCTTCAGTGCACTACTACAGTTGCTTTTCAGATATTGTTAGTACTTGAATTGATCTACATGTTACATTATACCTCCTTATAACTTGACACTGGTACCATTCGGTCAGTGATTTCATAAGTGGCATAATGAACATGTTTTGTGGTCATTCTCTGGATTCAGCAGTTTTTTATCATATGACTTCCTTTCTTTGTCAGATGTCTTAAGAACATTTGCTAGTTTCTCAGTCACCACTGTTCTTTTGAGTATGTGACTGGAAAAGCAGCCTAGAAACCTGTTGTTAAATCAGTGTAAGTGGTGATAAATGAGAAGGGATAGAACTGTTTTGTATGCAAAGTAGGACCATAAATGGGCACAGTGTAACTGAGTGTCAATATAATTCGAAAATGTGCATTTTATGTATGTGCAAAGTAACAATAACTTAATCAAAATGCACAGTGTAAAACAAGAGGGATGATTAAGGTGCCAAAAGATGCCTTTCTCTGTCTTCAGTGCACTACTACAGTTGCTTTTCAGATATTGTTAGTACTTGAATTGATGTGTTTAAGTCGGAAAACAAAAAAAAAATGAAATGAAAATAAGGACTTCACTTCCCATACAAATGATCTACCCATATTTTGTAGCCATTTACTAACTTGTGTGATAAACCTTATTAAATGTTGCATCATGGCACATTGCATAGCGCTGACAAGCATCAGCTGCACAAATTAATGCTTTATTCAGACACCACAGCAATACCAGCCTCTCTTTTTGTGTGGCATTTTAGATTATAAGGGATTCATGTAATGCTAAGCTATATATTCAGATTCATTAAATCCTTGTTTAACCTGACATACCGTTTATTCCTATGTATATGCCTATTCAGATAAGTTTATTTTTCTTAACAAAAAATAACTTGGTATTTGCTTCGTTTGGTCAGTTGCTCTGTTACTATAATATAGAATTAACAAACAAGACAAAGCAGTATGTATGTTCTTAGTTACCCTTGTGATGCTTAAAAGTGCTAAGAAAGATTTGTACTGGATTGTGATTCTTAAATGTCAAATTGCTGTACTGTTTCATTAAGTCAGTATGAAACCAGTTTTCTTTTTGAACATTTCTACTTTTGCACTTATATGTAAGATTATGAAAGTAATATTGCTTACCAATGGCTCTTAACATTGAAAATGTTCCCTGCTTTAAGCAGCATTTTAAAATTGTATATTTAATCTAATACAGGTACATGTATGCATATAATGATGTACATTTTTTGGGAAAATAATTTCACTTTTCAGATGTCTCACAGTAAAATCATTTCTTTTAATTACATACAAATATAAATAGCCGAATGTACATTAAGAGTGTTTTAGATGGCGAACAATGCCTTAATTTATAGTGGTACAAGTATGGTGGCTTAGATCAGATGGCACACTCCCTCTTTCTGATAGTCACCATCCTGAGACAAACTCACAATACACTATTAAAATCATCTGTCATCATCACAGTTACCATTTTACAATAATAATCACTGTGGAAGGAATAAAATCACATGACGACTTTCATAGACAAATACTGCATTGATGTTCAGTGAAGTCTTTTTTGACCTCATGGGGGGAAAAAATGCAGAACTACCTGATTGTGTTGAACAAAACAATTACTGAGCTAGCTGGAATATGTATTCAGCAATTTGTTTGGTCCAACACGTGTAGAACCATGCTCTACAAAGTCATACTGATAGCTGAAGTTTTGCCTGTTACAGCAGTGTAAAACAACACAGATGGAATATGGCACTGTTTTATAAATAGACCTCAAAATAACAAATTTCACTTCTATATCTGCTCTGAGATTCGAACAGCAAGTACTTGAAATTCAAATCAGTCAAAACTCGTGACTGAAAAATGCTGATCAGATTGGAATATTCCAAAACTGATGACATAAAATGGACAGATATATTTAAAAATTCCATTATATTAAAAAGAAAAAAAATAGAGAACAATACATATACCTAGTACTGAACCAAATACAGCACAAATCTGAATTGATACATCTTTTATACAAAAAAAAAACTTTGGAGGGTTTTGAATAACAATGTACAATCATGCTTACTCATGGAATAAGTGTTTGTAGTATTCAGTGAGTATGTAGATGGTGTGTGTATATATATATATATATATATATATATATATATATATATATATATATACACATACATACATGTCCACTGCTTTCACTGCTTTTTACCACACCACCTATTAAATACAATCGCTTGCTAATAACATGTATAATCTCAAAGATTAACAGAATTTGCTGGAAGAAATCCATCTTCAGAATACACCATTTCGAATAGGAGCAGAATTATGTGCCTTTAAGTACAATATGTCTGCTCTTTTTTCCAGTTTGAAAGGAGCTGACAAACACTTTGTCCACATATGTGTTGCAGTGCTTTTTTTCAAATGTGTGAATCCAGTTTCAATCCAAACACGAGTGCATCTGATACATGGTATCATTTTAGATTGGCGTTCAATTCCTCCCAGACACTAGGGGGTGCTGTGAAGTTTTTGGAGAAGTTTATCCTCTTGCAGTTGGAAGGGAACGATGACCGACATCTCAGCAATGAAGCGCTCACATGCCTGCCGGTTCACCTGCTTGCAAAATCGCAGGTCAATGCGGCAGATGCTTCCGCAGCGTTTGAAGTAGATCAGCGACTGATCAGTGACCCTGTTACACACTAAAGAGAACAAGAAAGGAGAGATCAGTAATCAGTGAGGGGGAATTAACAGTTTTAAACATTAGACTCAGTGAACCCTTCAAAAAGGAAAGTTATTTAAACTACTTAGTAGTCCAAAGTAAACCACAGCAATTCCTGTGGTCTAACATGGTCTAAAGGCCGTGACACACCAAGCCGACTTCAAATAACTAGCAGCGACGAAAGCCGGTGTGTTGTCGCCTCACGTAGGCAGTGTCGGACCAAAAAGCTGCGCTCGAACACACCGCACAGACTACAACCGACAGCAAACTAACACGTGCGTTCTGCGCATTCGTGAGAGGAAATAACTGTCTATATCAGCGGCTATCAATAGTATATATTCGTCATTCAAAAGGAGAAACCGAAACAAAGATATACAAGATAAACGCAGATATGCGAAACGTAAACAAAGCAGCGCTTGCCTACCATTTTGAATATCAGTAACATTGATAACTTCACGTTGAATCAGGCAAACTGCCGCCGACGAGAGCTGATGAGTAGAACACACCAAACAAACTCGCCCGACCGTCGGCCTGACGTTAGCCGGTGGCCGACCATCGACTTGGTGTGTCCCGGCCTTAACATTTTTTTTTCATAGGTCGAATCAAGAATTACTGATATGCCTTTTTCACTGAAATGCCTGGGGATCTGTAGGTCTCTCTCTGAACCAAACCACAATTCCACTGACTCAAGAACCAAGTGATGTAACCTGCCCACACTAAATGCTTCCTGTATTGACAGCTTCTCTGATTAAAACGAGAGCATTTTTTGTGTCAGTCTCACCAAACGGAGTTGCTTTGGAAATTTTAAGTGGTGATGACATTTTCCTGCCCACAAGCCCCTAATGGTTATGATTTGAGACCAGAAGGTTTATGGGCCAGTAAGGAGTCAATTTCCTTTGGTGGAAACAACAGGCAAGGTTGGGCACTGGTTTAGCTTTGGTACCAGCACTGTGTTGGTGAAAAAGGGTATTAACTCAGGAGGAATCTGAATGGTTTAAAAGCATTTGTTGTAATATTACAAATGGCATTAAACAGTGCAATTACCAGAAAGGTTGACATCAGTTAAGGAGTCTCTAGTGGTGGTCCCTGCAGCAGTCAGCAGGTTTACTGACTGGTCATTGATATGGTTGCAGTAACTCAAGTCCAGACGGGAGAGTACAGGCATATTTTTAATGATGAGACGCAGAGAGCTGTCCGTGATGTCCAAACCAGCCAGACGCAGGTCAGTAACATTCCGAAGTTTGCTGCGTGTGTCCATCTGACCTGTTAGAGAAAGCCCAAGTAGAGAATACACCATCTGAATAAGTAACTGTCTTGTAGGAATTCATTTCGGAGTTGAGTGAGGTGGATCTTTGGTGTGCAAATCAATCTAGATTACTGTATATTACCTGGCCTGTTGTCAGTCGGAGGAGATAGTAGGTCCCTCATCTGGGGGTCTTTGAGCCCCTCCACCCATTGCAGGTCTAGAGTACGCAGCAGAGGACAGCTGGATGTGCAGAGAGCTGAAACGGCCACCCATGAACAGCCTGATAGGAGAAGCACCCTTAGTCCTGCAACCAAACACACAGGTTAGATGTGTGATTAGAAACAAGTACATACTGTAAATTAAGATGATGTGGATCCACATACATGCTCACATGAACACTGACCTGGTAATCGGTTAATAAGCCAGCTTAATTGCTTCTTGGAGATGTTGGTCCAGCTCAGATCCAAAGTGATGGGCTGTCTGCGAATTATCCCACTTAGCATCAGTGGGGTGATGGACTTACAACGCTTTAAATCGATATGAGTCCATAATCTCTTGTCACAGCACCTAAACCAACAACAAAATGTCATTCTAATAATCACATATAGGCCCCATCCCAAAATGGCACTTTGTGCATGTCTGTAAAGTCCACAAGACTGTAGGGCAAGAATGTCTAATCCTGCTGCTGGAGGGACAAATACCTACAGAGTTTAGCTCTAGTCTGCTCCAACATAACTGCCTGGAAGTTTTAGTTGTCCTCAAAACCTTGATTAGTTGGTTGAGGTGTGTTTAATTACCTCGACAATTAAACACACCTAAGAGTTGGAGCTAAACTCTGCAGGACAGTGGCCCTCCAGAACCGAAGTTGCCCAGACCTGTTGTAGACTATTACGAAATCCCATTTCAACCATTAAATGGCAAATCAGATACCCTACCACAGGGGTGTCCAGTCCTTCTGTTCAAGGGCCATGTTCCTGCAGAGTTTACCTTCAACCTAATTAAACACACCTCAACCAGCTAATCAAGGTTTTGAGGATTTAGCCATGGTCTACAATAGTGATGTTAGGTTCTTGAACGAATCGTTCTTTTGAGCCGGTTCTCAGGAAGTAACCGGTTGAGCCAGTTCACAAATCGAACTGAATCGAACTTTAGTTCCGGGTTGATGACGCAGGACGCACAGCCGAAGTAGCACGTCCAACTCAAAAAGAACCGAATGAGCCGGTTCAACTGACTGTCGAAGTTTGCAGAGGATTACCGAGGACTCAACAAGAACCGAATGAGCCGTGGTGAAGTTTGCAGAGGATTACCGAAGATTCTGATGAGTGAGTTGACGATACTGTGCAAGCCTGAGGCGCGTACTGGAAATATGCTTGTTTATTATGACTGTTATTAATTTACATTTTATTAAAACCCGCAAAAACCTTTCTGTCGAGTGATGTAAATAAATTTTACAATAGTTTATTGTGCATGCATATTATATTTAAAGTTGCTTAAGCGAAAACAAGGCGTTTATAAGACTGGTTTATTCATTCTTTATACGGTAGACATGTAGAACATATCCGCGTTTGTGCATCAATGTCTGTAATGTGTGCTGTAGGTGTGAAACTTTTAGGAATCTTATCCAAGTTGTAGGCTAGTGAATATTGGTCAGTCAGTTGTATCTGAGGATCCGCGAATGAAACTGTGACCACAAACACCATTAACTTAAGTGAATTATATGGCAATAATCAGCAATATGCTTTCACACAAATAACTTTATTTTTGAATGTTTCAATATGCGTTGACACAAATGACTTATTTGAAATTTTCATTGATACAACATGGCAATGAGTTGTTAGAAAAGAAATGCGTAGAGACGTTATTGCTTGATGACGTCAGGAACCGATGAACAGGCTTTTTGAACCGGTTCAATGAGCCGATCTGTCCGAAAAGTACCGGTTTGCGGAAATGAATCGGACTTTGCATCACTAGTCTACATCCCCAGTATTTCCCAATCCTGTTCACATTTTGGATGTGTTCCTTATTTGACCCATTCACTTTAGGTCCGGGAGTCCCTTTTAATGAGATAAGTTGAATCAGTTGTGTTTGGTTAGAAAGAGTTTGAAAATGTGTAGTGTTGGGGGTAAATTAAGTTCCTATAACCCATGAACAGGTTTTGAACCCTGTTCCTGGAGTACCCCCAACACTACACATTTTGAATGTCTCCTTTTTCTCACATGCTCATTTCAGGTCTTGGGAGTTTCTACAAATGAGCTGATGACCTGAATGAGGTGTGTTTGATTAAGGAGACATGCAAAATGTGCAGTGTTGGGGATACTCCAGAAACAAAGTGGCTACATTTACATGCACAATTTTTGGTTCAATCGGACTGAATTAATTCTGATTGATGAATCTGAATGTAGTGTTTACATGAATTGTACATGTTTACATGATGATATTTATTAATTTATGGATAAATATACATATAAACCGCTGTGCCGTGCTGCTCATATTTATCACGCAGTAAAAATGCTCCTCCCCACGCCCAAAACGGGTTGCCTGTGAATGAGAATCCAAAACCAGGACTGGTGGGAGGTTGTCCTGCTCCACTTCACAGTTTCCGAGTGAAAGGAGAGTTTTATAATGACAGGACATGCATTTATACAACACTTTATTCAAAAGGAAGAGCTGTTCGTTCCACGCGTCAAGCGTCATTATGCTATTTCTGCATATGCACATGCGCAGTCCTTTCAGTTTCGGGGTTCGATCCGATCGAGTGTTTACATGCATGCTCAATCGTATTAGAAAAGGAATAAACCACCCCCTTCAATCCGATCGAAATTTCATTCCGATCGAGCTCAATCGGATTGATTAAGATGTTTACATTACATTACTTTTCAGTCTGATTGAGCTGTCAATCCGATTACAAATGGATTATTTGGTTGCATGTAAACGTAGCCAGTGTAAACCAGGGGTGCAGAACTCAATTTCTGGAGGGCCGCAACCCTGCAGAGTTTCGTTCCAACCCTGCTCCAACAAATACCAAGTAGTTTTCAAATAGGCCTGAAGGACCTGATTAGCTGCATCAAGTGTGTATAATTAGGGTTGAAGTTAAACTTTGCAGGGCTGTGTAGAAATGGCAGGAACTAAGTTCTGCACCCCTGGTGTAAACTAATTGAGATGGACCACAAGGATTGAGGGTGGCATCTGGGACAGGCTCACAGATAAGTCTTTAGGTTTTTCTTACCAGCGATTCCATGTTCGGCACACTCGCATGCACACACAGAGTTCACGATGGCTCAGGTGACTGAAAATATTCAACCATGCTTCTCTGGGAGCGATGTGATTGCGTCCATCAGCTAGTGGTAGCCTATCAGGTGGAGGGCAGATTGGAGGTGGCCGGATCACATGGCGCTCCATCTGAACACACTTGGGAGGAGAACGTGCAGGAAGTGGTCTGATTGTAGGTGAACTGCGGTTCAAGCCAAGCGGGGTAATCTGAGGAGGGTAAAAGTGCCGCAGCTCCCAAGATGTCCCATTCATCTCCCTTGCTCTTAAGTGTGGACGCTCCCCTCCTCCCTCTCCACCTGCTCCTCTTTCAACACCTCCACCTCCTCCTCCATTCCCTGCAGTCCCGTTCCGTAAGCCTCTCTTTGGTTCCTCGTTCTCACTGTCCTCGGGTTCACTCTTGAGTGGCTGCTGGTTCTCATTGGCCCCTCCCCACGCCCAAAACGGGTTGCCTGTGAATGAGAATCCAAAACCAGGACTGGTGGGAGGTTGTCCTGCTCCACTTCACAGTTTCCGAGTGAAAGGAGAGTTTTATAATGACAGGACATGCATTTATACAACACTTTATTCAAAAGGAAGAGCTGTTCGTTCCACGCGTCAAGCGTCATTATGCTATTTCTGCATATGCACATGCGCAGTCCTTTCAGTTTCGGGGTTCGATCCGATCGAGTGTTTACATGCATGCTCAATCGTATTAGAAAAGGAATAAACCACCCCCTTCAATCCGATCGAAATTTCATTCCGATCGAGCTCAATCGGATTGATTAAGATGTTTACATTACATTACTTTTCAGTCTGATTGAGCTGTCAATCCGATTACAAATGGATTATTTGGTTGCATGTAAACGTAGCCAGTGTAAACCAGGGGTGCAGAACTCAATTTCTGGAGGGCCGCAACCCTGCAGAGTTTCGTTCCAACCCTGCTCCAACAAATACCAAGTAGTTTTCAAATAGGCCTGAAGGACCTGATTAGCTGCATCAAGTGTGTATAATTAGGGTTGAAGTTAAACTCTGCAGGGCTGTGTAGAAATGGCAGGAACTAAGTTCTGCACCCCTGGTGTAAACTAATTGAGATGGACCACAAGGATTGAGGGTGGCATCTGGGACAGGCTCACAGATAAGTCTTTAGGTTTTTCTTACCAGCGATTCCATGTTCGGCACACTCGCATGCACACACAGAGTTCACGATGGCTCAGGTGACTGAAAATATTCAACCATGCTTCTCTGGGAGCGATGTGATTGCGTCCATCAGCTAGTGGTAGCCTATCAGGTGGAGGGCAGATTGGAGGTGGCCGGATCACATGGCGCTCCATCTGAACACACTTGGGAGGAGAACGTGCAGGAAGTGGTCTGATTGTAGGTGAACTGCGGTTCAAGCCAAGCGGGGTAATCTGAGGAGGGTAAAAGTGCCGCAGCTCCCAAGATGTCCCATTCATCTCCCTTGCTCTTAAGTGTGGACGCTCCCCTCCTCCCTCTCCACCTGCTCCTCTTTCAACACCTCCACCTCCTCCTCCATTCCCTGCAGTCCCGTTCCGTAAGCCTCTCTTTGGTTCCTCGTTCTCACTGTCCTCGGGTTCACTCTTGAGTGGCTGCTGGTTCTCATTGGCCAGTGAATGCTCTGTGCGACGGATCTCCATGTTGAGCTGCTTGCTGAGTTCTGCGCTGAGCTGGCGGTTAGGGGGCTTGCGCCGGTGTCGCTTTGCCCGAGCACGTGGTGCCTTCTCTTGAGTCTCACTACCTTCGCTGCTTGGCCCTGCTCTTGGGGAGCTGCACCGTGAAGCATCACTCTCAAGCGATAAGGAGATGTTCTTCAGTGCAGGGCTGCTGTCCCTGCCTCGTTTGCCATTATTGTCCTCCTCCTCTTCCTCATAATCATCCTCCTTTTCTTCCTCTTGGTCTTCCTCTTTCCGGAGGTTGTTAAAGTCCTTTAGGGATCTGAAAGGTGGATCTCTCTCCTCCCTCCTCTCTTTCTCATGCTCTTCCTCTTTTCTTACTGTGCTGTAGTCTTTCTTAAATGAACGACGAGGCGGTTCTCGCTTCTCTTGCCTCTCTTCCTCCTCGTCAGAGTTGTCTTCCTCTTCTTCTGTTTTCATGTGAGAGAGTTTAGGAATCAAAGGCTCTTCAGGCCTCCAGGGTTTCTTCGGCTGAAAATATATCAATAAAGTTACTGAATGAAAAAGCTACAGCAGATCTGTGTATGCAAATAATGCATGTCTGTGTAAATGTTACCTTCTTTTTAGCACTAGCCTCGTCTTCCTCTTCATCATCGTCAAATAACTTCCTCTTCTTCCTTAAGAAGTTGGGCACTTCAGATCGTGGTCTTGGCAGGCCACTAGGGCTCAAGAGTGGGGGAAGACGGGATGGTAGATCTTCAGTCTTCAGTCTGGGAGTTTCCTCCCTTTCACTCTTCCTCTTAATGGATGAAGCACATGTGGATGTCTGGTCTCCTTCCTCTCTTCCTGCTTTCTGCTCCCTCAGCAGGGAGCCTGGCAGGTTGGATGCATACTTAAAGCCTGGGCCCCGTTTTTGCTTGCAGGCCAAAGAGTGGCAAGAAAATACAAAAGACAACTTTATACCTTATGAATGTTATACATTGTTCGCCAAGCATATATTGCTATGATATACGTCCTATGTATGTCATGTATCATATTTTACTGTAAACGTATTTCAACGTTTGCATTAAGGGAAATAGCTTGACAGCCTGTCAGTAACTGAACTGAATTAAAATGATCACAACACATGTCTATTTGCATTATATTTGCATCAAGATCTGGTTTGACAGTTTCCTTATGGGCTTGTCATACTAAATGAGAAACACAGGCCCTTTAATGCTTTTTGTCAAAAACTAAACGGGAACTAAATATGTGAGTTAACAAAAGTTCAAAAGGTAAAATGAATTTGGAAAATTACAAAAACGTATACATATCACCGCTTTACTGTAAACCACATTTCATCTTCATTGTCTCCACTACTTTCTTAAATAGTATCTCTTTTCAAATGCAAATGCAAATCTTTTTTGTATGCTATCAAACCACTCTACCACTGTTCCCCAAATACTCACTTTTCCAGTCTTCCCAGCGTAATTGCATTTTGGACATTCCCAGCAGTTAGGAAGCTCATCATTTACTACCCCAGCTGCATCCTTCACCTGTATAGGCAAGAGACCGGACTTAGAGCAGAAAAGAGATTGTTTATGAAAACACTCTCGCTAAGTATGTGAATGCTCTACACCACCACTAAAGGAACTTAAGGGTGTTAAAATACGTCAGAGCCGCCCACAAACATGCACTTCAGCCCAATCACTTCCTTCTTCTGTGCCCACACAAAACAAAAGAGAGCGCAGTATACACTGCTTTGCATTTACTTTAGAACTATATTCTTAGGCTAGTGGTTAGGTTAGAGTTCAGTCAGTCTGACCTTGAGGCAGTTTGGATGGATAATTTCATTGCAGATGGAGCACTCCATGAGCATGGCATTAAATTTTTCATCTTCATCATCAAGTGTGTCTTCTTTACCAGCTTCACCGCACACTACACATACTGCTGTATGTGGTAACACGGGCTGTGGAACCACATGCCAACAATTTAATATCCAGAATATCAACAATTTGGAAAATGTGTGGTTACAAAATACACATACACAATAAAATATGATTAAAAAAAAACACTTTAAGGTTATTGTTAAAAATAAATGGAACATTCATCTGACATCATTACAACCTTTAGTTGTACAGTCAAACATTGTGAATCTCAGTTTGATAAATGATTAAATGTCTGTATTGATACATTTACATTGCTACATCTACATGGAATTCTGCCAGTTCCTCATACATTTGATCAGGCTCAATGAAGTGGTGAAGGAGAATTCTGGAGGAATTCCAATTCCTTACTTTCAATGAAATTTAGGTTAACAGCCCAGAGTACGGCTAAAGTGGATTCCTCAAAGACTGCTTCTACGTTTCAAACTCAAATTTTTGGTCTTAAAATGGGTCTCTCTCATGTAAAAAATGCTGTTATTTTATGTATTGGCTGTGTGACATTTGGTTCATGAATCATCTCAGTGTCTGCTGGAATTTAGTTTCTTACCGCTATACATTGTCTCATAATGCAAGACTGTTTCATTCGACCAGGTCCTCCAAACTTCTTCATGTCCTTACAGAAGTGACACTCTCCACATTCTGTCCGCACACATGCCTCGCATTTTCGACATCGTGTGCGTCTACGTCGAGCTCCAGAGGAGGTTCGATTGGAAGGCAGCTTGACCGCTGTTGCAGTGGATGAAGAAGTAGTCGCTGCCGGAGTTGTTGCTGTTGATGCAGCCATTTTGGGCTTGGATCTGTTGGGTAGCCGTTGCTAATGGGGAAAAAAATGAAGAATGGAAATTAAAATAATATAATAATAGATTACAGCCATGTACAACAAACTGTTGCCAATAAAACATCCTCACTAGGCATCTGGGAACAGAAGTGAAAAGCTATTGATGTTGTCAGTATATTAGTTCAGATTTTTGTTATAAACGGTTTCTGTATGAGATTTGACGGTAAAATGTAATTTAGCTGTATTTGTGGATGTTAATAAGCTAAACTTGCTGTTAGTTTAATGTTTCCATTAAAACTAGCATGTAAAATGTGTACTTTTAGCCCACATGTTTTTTTTACCATTTGTTTGACAGAAAAAAATGGCACAGGCACCTGGTTCACATGTGATTAGCTCACTGGTAAAAAATTAAGTGTCGAGAATCATAGGTGCTCTTCTCTAATGACTTTATTCTGTACATTATACAGCTCTCCATGGTTCAAAGCTCAGTGCCTCTTATTGTCTGTTTACCCACCCACAATCCCTGTATGACTCTCCTGCTTGATTTATGCACTATGCTTCAAAATAATCTATGCTCATATCCTTTATTCTTTCACCCTTGCGATTTACAACATTTGATTGCTATTGTTTATCATCTCTTCTAACTCGACTATGCACCTCTCTTGCTAGCTCAGCTGTTGGAATATAACCTATTTAGGAACCTCAATTATGCCTCTCTGTGATTGGGATCATTGTGATTGCTCTCTAATGTAGTAATAAGCAGCAGAAATGGTGGATTCCAGCAAATTAGTTCTGGTTACACATGGGATCATGTACAGCAATACTTTGGAAATGTAATAATGTTCAAAACAGGCTAGTTGCAAGTAGAAAGTAAAGTTCAGGGCTCAAATCTAGCATTACTACATAAACTCTGGTGCAATACCTACTATATCTTTAAATGAAACTTGCAACAAGGTCAAATCAAAATAAAAAATGTAATTCCAGTTATCCCATTATAATATATAGCATAACATAGGTTAACATTTACATTTTCTTGGTCATGTTTAATATGCGATTGACATAATTAGCAATATGGCACTGTTTGTAACTGGTATTATGAAGGGGAAAAAGCCGTTTTCACTGGTACCAGGTGCTACAGATGCATGTGCATGTGAACAATTAGTTCTTTATTACATCAACTTGCATTTTTCTTTCACACCGTACAGTAAAGCTAAGATGTAACCATGTCTTATATTAGCATCAATGCAATCCTTATAATCATCACCCTCTCCAGAAGAATCCTATCTTGCCTTCCAGCTCAGATAATGAATACATTACAACGCATGCACAAAACTGCAGTGCAGTACTGGAAGTCTGTCCTTCTGCAATGTAACCATAGCAACACAGCAGTTCTTGCTGACTGGTGGAATGAAGGAATACTTCTATTCAACATTTAACTGGCTCAGAAGGGGGAAGTGGTTGACGATTGGGTTTAACGTCAGATTCCCATTGCAGACAGTTCCTCTGAGAGACTAAATAGTAGCACTGTAATACTGAAATATACTCAAGATCAATGGTATTATTTTCATCTTCTTAATGGGATGTTTCAGACATTGAGATCAAATGCTGTTGTAGAGCTATTCCTGCCCTTGCAAAATCCCGTGGGACATAATTTCCTTACAACAGAACAATTGGAACACAACCATTCCCAAGCGCTATGTTTCATTATAACAGATTCAGGGAGCTGCAGAGCGGTGCAGGCTGCTGACTGTAAGAATGCTTACTATAGCGCACAACAGTGTTTTTGTGCTTTGGAGTGATGCACCACAGCTGTGACCCACTGTCCAAGTGTGGAACCCAATATGAGAGATAGTTGTTTCAAAATGAATGCTGCATCACAGCCAGTATTCATCAGCTGTCCAAAGGCTACACATGTGTGAGGACCTAAGATGTAATCTCCAGCTCAAACAAATGACTGTTTGGACTGATGAAGCCGATCCTAGATCAGACCTTTTGAACACAGCACAACACCAGAAGTTCTCCAGTTACTCTTCTATTATACACTGCACCATCAGTGGATATAAAGGATGTGATACCTGTGAGTCCAGCAAAATAAATAAATAAACAAACAGCACAGACTGTACTTTCTGAGGAGGCTCATTCCATTTAATGTCTTCTGCAGGTTACCTGTAATGTTCAACCAATCAATGATCAGCTATTGGGTCAAGAAGTAATCATTACATCCCAGTGCTCTACAACCTACATCTAGAAACATCAAGTTACATCAGCCAGGATCCTTATTCCTATCATCATGCAATTACACCTAGAGACACGCATTTTCCAGACTAAGTCACACATAATTATTCTCTTTTCTGAAAAAATCCACATGCATCATCTTCTTTTGTGGTTGCGCTCAAGCCCTGCTTGTGAGTTTGGAAATAATAATTGTGCTGTGATGTCCATTTGATTTAGTCTCAATAAAATCTACATGTTGGGCAATTTCATGTTCCTTTCTCGACTGTCCACTTCCTGACAAAGAGGAGTGCTTTTAGCGTAAATGCAGCAAAATGAAGAGAAAAGATGCACTTTAGGTGTGTAAATGATGCTTTACATGTGTATTTTATCATTCTTGTGCATCCACAGAGAATGATGGGAAATTAAGCTTGCCTGGCTTTATTGTTATTCTTCAACGATCTTACCATCTTATAATACAACATGGGTATATACTATACTATCAGAGCTGATCCTCCCTATATGCTAGGGGGCCCCCCTTCTCTCAAAGATGATTTCATTTTAGTTTTGTTTTGAATTTGGCCAGCGGTTATGAAAACATGAATGATCATTTCTTTTAATGCGGTGCGCCGTCGCCCTTTCGACGTAAAAATCAGTCAAATCATGTGATAAATGATGAGACTAAAAAAACTAGTTGAAAGTGTACCGAGCCGCGGAAGAGACACTGTTTCAAGCGCTTTCCACGAGCATGATTCGAGACGGAGTGAAACACAGACAAATGCGTTTCATTCATTCGTTCATAACCACTCATACCCAACCCACCCCCGTGGGGTTTGCGTAGGGCCCCCAGAAGTCTAGGATCGGCACTGTATACTATAAGGCTCAATACTATAGTTATTTATTGACATGCCCCCAAATTTAAAGCCAATTCATTCATGCTCAACACATAAGATCATTTCTGACATTTCTGACTTGAACGCATCACTTACAAACTAAGCATTCTCCTAAAACACTCATTCATGTTGTAGACAGGATCATCCCCGTCATCTCGTGTACACTCCAACAGAAGCATAATTACAGTCTGCGTGAATATGTTTGCTCATGGTCATGGGTGAGAGTTTATGTCTAATCTCTGGCACTTTATTGTGCCCACGCCATGACACAAGTAAAAAGACCCAATGAGTCATAAGGCTTCATTGCAATCTAGAAGAATTAAAGCTACCGCCTCTGCACAAGAGTGAGGAACAAGTCAATGACAAAATGTATTATATATACATATATTACAAATATCAATTTGGTCATTTTGCGATCAGGAAGGCGAAAGATTTCCACACAAAGATTTTGCAACGGGTTCAAGTTGATAACGTGAATTTACCACACTGACCAACAGAAAGCCGCTTGGTTTGAAAGAGACTTCTTTGTGAACGGTGCTTCATATATATTGCTACACTATTCACAACTGACACTGGAACTTTTTTGCTAGCAAAATTTTGCAGAAATTAATTCATTTCAATAGGAATTCATCTGAATTCAATAAAGAATTTTGTGTGAGGGGAATATCTTCCCTATGTGGTTTTTGCAACGAGTTCAAGCTAGTCACGCACAATTTTGCCGAAATTCTGCTAATGTGACCATATATTTAGACCAAACATATGTCTAAAGAGTCTTACCAAATATACCTTATGACTTATAGACTACCCAAGATTAACTCAAACAGGGGGCCTGAGAGCAGCCGGGCCCTCCTTTTGTTCCCCCCACAATTTTCTTCACCCCTCCCCCCAGTCTTCAACATAGAAACAGTTTTTTAAAGATATGGGACCCTGTTATACATCACAATAGGGATTACGAGATTTGAAATGCACGCATTATTTGTGTTGTTGGTGAGCAGTGAGCACATGTGGCTTACTTGGTTCAGTGACATTCACATGCAACCTCACACCAACATGTACTGTGCCGCAACTAATATGTTTCTTAGTAAATTCAAGAATTTGTTAGCAAATGCACAGGTGCCTGTTGCAAAAGTCTGTATGTTATGCTCTCTTAGAAAATACCTAACCTACAACTGTTCTTAGTTATTTTTTAACCTTTCAGTTCAAATGGATGCAAAAAAAACAAAAAAAACAGTTGGTGTACAAACAATTTTCAGTCACAAATTGCTTGTAAATTTCACAATCATTTACACATAAATGTCAAGCAACACATTCAATTAAACTTGAATTTTTGAAGGAGAAAAACTGGAAAAGTAATTTAGTTAAATCATTTTTACAGTGCAGTCTAGATTTTGTCCTCACTTAAAAACAACAAACCGAGCATGTTGTTCTATTTCCTAGAAAACAGTAGTGCATCTTGGGAAGGGAACTTAAGGGCAACACATGTCCAGTCATGCTGTTGCTTTGAGGAACTTAAGTCCTCCTTTAATACAGTATTTATTCCCCTCCACATGTGTGAAAGTCGGAGTACATCACACCCAAAAAAGTCTAACTACTACATTTTACTACTTACTAACTACTACATTTAAGTTCTCCCAACAATACAAAGGAGTCAACCCAATATAAACCACACCAAAACACAATGGTAAAGCAACGGGAACATGCTTTTTTCCCTTGAACAAGCCTTCCTGAAAGAGGCACACATGACTCAAACCAATCACAACTGATAGCTGAAACTCAATGGAGACAAACAATAAGACAGAGCCACTCTTCTCTGTTGTATGAGTTTTTTCCCCTTCCTGTCGCATAGAAACCTCTCGTTCGTATACTATTGCAATAAAACAAAACCCAGAAACTGTTTCAGAAAGAGAGATGTGAGGAGGGTGAAGAAAGCAGGAGGTGGTGGAGAAAACACATGCCTTGTTTGAGAGCCATGGTGCTACGAGGAAGGGAACCAGAGAAGATGGCTAATTGTTTGTGTGGTGTGTATGAGGAGAGAGAGAGTGTGTACTGACCTGTTCGGCTGTATCCGAGTCGTAATCCTCATCGTCGGCACTCAGTGACATGGCCATGGCTACCTGATCTCATAGCCAGCCAGACAAACAGAACATAGACATGATTACAACCCCCCTAATCACAGTCGCCCGCCGTCTCCTCACCCGATTTCCTTTCTCTATTCCTCTTCCTCTAACCTTCCCCAATGTCTCGCTCCTGTTTCTCTCCCTCTCTTTTTCTGTCTGGAACAGGCAGCTGCACAGGAACACACCAGCCTGCTATCTCATGCATATGCACCAGAAAATGAAGACGGGGGAGAGGGGGCCTCGGCTCAGCCAATCACAAACCACCTGGCGTCCAGTTACAGGCTTGCCTACAAAGAGCACACATTGTACTGTTGGTCTGGGTGGGAGATGGAGGGGGGGAAGGGCAGCACTGCTGCACACAAAGAACTACTGACATTACCATGCGAGAGCAAGGTCTAGCTCTGTGAGTGATTCAGAGGGTCTGATGTTGCCTTCTTCTTACAAGTACAGGAAGTTAGCAGTTGATCTGGGTTTGATAGTTTTTGTCTAATGTGTTGCTGTGCTGTTTTCTGCAAGCATCAGTGCATGAAAGGCTCATACAGTACAGTATAGTGTATCAAGCTGGGGTGCTCATTTGAATGACCAGATATGTCGCATTTAGGTGCCTTTATGTTTTTTAGGAACTCTCACATGAGTCAGATTTAAGGAAGTGGGCTTTGTTACATAACCCATTCTGGTGAATGGCAGATTTGGGCATCCACATTTGGAAAGTTGTCTGAACTAAAATAAATCAGTTAAGTTTTAACAATGTTAAGATTAAAATCAAAAGGCTGAAATCTCCAGAACCATTTGCATCTATTTAGAAAAAGAAGAAGATGCCACACAGATATGCAATCATGTTAATACAATGTTAATTTAAAACTGTAAGGTTTTGACTACAAAGTAATGCCATTTTAGTATCACTGTGATACTACTGCAGTTTTTTATACATTTTTAGTTAAAGCTTTAGTAATTTTAGTGTATTTGTCATTTTTATTGTTTTTTCCCTGTGTATATACTTTGTATTACTTTTTATTTCAGTTTTACTTTTTGTTATTGTAGTACCTCAAGTTAGGCTAAACAAAAATGAGAAATGCGGACTTTGCAACTAGCTGAAAATATTTTAATTCATATTTTATTTGGTTTCAGTTAACGTTTATTTTATTTCAAGTAACAAAAATGTTTTTTTTTAATGGTTTATTTAGCTATAATTACCCTGGCCAAAAGTCCAATTACACAACAATATTTTTTTTTCATCTTGAATAGATGAATAATTTGAAAATAAAGGGTTAATTCTAATTTCATGCCAGCTTTGAATTTTGTAATTTTAATTACAATATTTAGTGGCCAAAACGATGCTTAGGTATTTTTGTATGCTAAATTTTTGCTGTACCATTATTAATATTATTATTAATTTATATTTTATAATTTCTTTGAAGCCACATAAATCACCCCCCCCCCAAACCACTGATTTAATTGCTCAACTCAGTCTTTGTTTAAGCGTTATAAATAGGTTCTATGATTGCCCTGACCAATGAAACCTTTACAGTTCCCTGCAGGGCGTGGTTTGAGCTTAACCCTGATTTGGTGGAAAAAAATCCCACTTTTTCAAAAGTCAATACTTTATAGGTAAGTCCCTAAGAAAATAACCTTATTTATTCACTGTGCTAACTAACCAAGTTCCTTGCTTATCTACCCTGCACTTCCATGACTGTCTTCTCAGGAAATTGCAAAAATAATTGCGAAATTTCATAATGGCTAATAAAAACTTGCCATAGCTTTATATAGTAACACTAACTACAGTAACTATGGAATTCTAGTGATAATGCTAATTCATGCAAACAATTAATGCAACCATTTTATTAGGCCTACAATTATGGCAATGTAATTATAAAATCTGCATTTGTATATGCAGCTATTTTTATTAACAAATGACCTAGTTTGTAGAAACTACGGTTACATTGATTTAACCATTGTAATTGGGGTCCATTCATGGTTTGACCTGTGGTTATTATGGGCTTATAACAAATACCACAGTATTGGTTATGATGTAAAACCTACAGTAAATAAAAAAAACAGATATAATTACATATAAAACCTCATCTCAGCACCCATCTATATTTGGCTGTGAACCTCCTCATCAGTTGTAAACCAGCTATAAACAAAACAAAAACCCACCAAATTTGAGGTAGAGAGATTACCTTATTCATTCATCATACAGATTCCCAATGCCAGTTCAGATTCTGCAACTGTTAAAGAAAAAAAGAAGACAACAAGAAGGGGGGGGGTTTAAGATGAATTTAGACCTTTGGTAGGTTTCACTAAGCAAATAAATTATGTTGGGTCGAGAATTAAGCTTGCAAATGAGAATGAGAGTAGGGCATACAAAATATATTAACTGCAGCAACATAAAAACAATTCCAGGACATGACGTTTCAAACAGAGCCCGCGTAGAGACAGAAAAAAAATGTTGTGGACCACAAATCCCACAATGCGTCATCCGCGCAGTGACCGTCAGCGGTGCATTGTGGGTAACTCGACTTGTAGTTTCTGATGAACACACTGTTACTGAGCACAGAGCGAGTTACTGGGGTTAGTCACTTTACAATCCGAGCATGTCACAGCGGGTTGAAGGGCTTCGGCAAACATACGAAGGGTAATCAAGAAGATACAAAGGCGATCTCGGGATTAAAGCATAAAGTTTCAAAACTTCTGAACGTATACGGAAACAAGCGCAATGAGTTCAAACGAGCACTCGCTTCAAGCTTTGTCCTGGAGAAAACTTTACTTGAGTCGAGCTAAACTCAAAGCGACCAGCAGAACCTCTGCTCTGCTCTCCGGCTTTGCTATGGTGAGTTAATGAAGTAATTAACGTACTTAACACTCTGTATGCAAAAGAGAAACTTACATTGCTCGAAGCCTGGCAAGCTTTCGGAGTTAACGTTAGAGCCTTGTAACATGACATGTCAGTCACTTTGATGTGCAAACGACACCTGCCATGGATTTAGCCTCTTACACTAGCATTGTACTTAAGTCCTTCTTCGATGTAACTCTCAGAAGTGTTAGTGGTGGGTATTTTGATTCTGCATGTACACGCCAGTAGGGGGCGACAAGAGTGTATTTTTGTGTCTTATGAATCATTGAATAATTCACTCAGTAGATTAGTTACAAATTCCGACTCCCCCTGTCCTTTAGTCTGTCTGTAGATTCTCATTTAATAATTATTTTCCGGAGTTCATTCAGTTAGTTTTACGAAAGAGTCACCTCTTTCAGCGCGAAAACGAATCTTCTCCCGCAAAACAGCGACTCGTTCAGTGAAGGGGGCGTGTTCGTTCAGCAGGCGCAACCAATGAAATGGTCCTTCACAACACAGACTCGAATGCTATTGGTTTATGCTGTGGTCTGTCATTGATGGAAGTAATGCACTCTGCCTAAATGCCTTCAGTGAACGGAAACACTTGCGTGGGAGTAAAGTAGAGCGATTCGTTCACTTAAAAAAACCAATTAACACCTAAACCGTGCTCAATTAAATTGTTTAAATACTAAATAAATTAAATATTATTACTGCAGTAATTGTTTTTACAGTGAGCTTGTATTGACCCCCATTAATATAATTTTTTTAAAGTATCTTACTGTGTTGAGAGAAGGTCTTTTATTATTATTAATTATAATTGTATAGTAGCATTAACTGTGTTAACCATTATTTTGGCAGCAGCTGCAGTCATGATTAAATTAGTAAGGGCCTCAGTATCATCACTGTGACATGTTTCCGTTTACTTGCTCAGAGGAAATGCACTTCCTTTGACTGTGCCATGTTAAGAAATGATAGGCTATAAGTCCATTACATTATAAACGTGAAATAGAATCACATATACCTGTTATCTTTTACATAAAATTACTTTCAGTGATGGGTGTAAAATAAACTGCTAAATGTGGAAAGTTAGAACGCACAGCCTTTGATTTCAACAACAACAGATACGGGAAGCATTGTTTCCTCTCCTTTAAAAGTTGATAAGCCTATTTATTTAGTTTTTGTAACTACAGTTTCGCTGTTGAATAGACCCACGACTAACCTAAGAACCAGAAATGTGTTATAAGTTTCCGGAAATAAGAGTAAGGGACTGGAAAAAGGTGTAATGTTCTTTCAGAGGGTGGTTATTGTGCTTGAGGTTAGTCTATGAGCAATAAGTGCAGCACAGGAAGTGAGCTGAATATGAGTGGCATGAGGAAACTGCATTTCATAAACTCCTCTCTCTTAGGGATCAGTGTGAACATGCGACATAATTACACATTTCAGGGGTAGTGTTTGTATTTAGTTGCACTGACTGTTACAAAAGTAGTGCACTTCTTTTGTAACCTACTATTGACTTCCAAACTCATTTTCATATCTGTGGCACTATGTAACACATGTAGGGCTCCCTTCAGGCCTCATTAATCAGAGAACATATGATCTGTGGCGTTTTCAAAAGCTTGAGAAAAACAGTTTGTCTACCAAATTAAAATGTGTCGGCCACACTGCAAAGAGTTATTTTCTTAATCAAAATCTGTGTCTTGTTTTTCAATAAATACATTTGAACATTAATAAAACAAGTCCAGTAAAATTACATATTTAATTACGTAATTACAAATAGATTAAGATATTGAGACTTGTTTGCAGGGAATAAGGAATCTTTTTTTTTTTTTTTTACGGCTTGCTCAGTTTAGTTACAATGAGCTAATGCTAAACTATTCTTGAACATTTTGTCACGATTTTAATTGCATACAATGAATTTAAATTGATCAAATGGAAGTTTATTTAATCCATTTGCTCTGCCACACCTAAATACATATTCAATTTCAGACAGACACATTGATTGGAAGCAAGCATTAATTGTTTTAATCAAACAATATATGTCCTTGTAGAAAGGTTATAATATAAACTAAACTAAAACCATAAAAAACCATATATATATATTTTTTTACTTTAGTTTGCTAGTTTTACTGTGGATGCACTAAAGTAACTAAACTAAAACAAAAATAAATTTTTTTTTTAAACTGCATGGACATGCTTAAAACAAAAAGGTAAAAAAATAACAAAAACACAAAATTACTAAAACTTTTAACACAAATTATAATGAAAAATTGTACAATTATTTAAAATATCACTAAAAACGAATAGTATCTCAATGATGCTAAAATAGCACTACCATGTAGTTTAATTTAATAATCTACTTATTTCTAGTTGTATGCCAAAATTAAACTATCAATAGCCAATGATTGGTTTAAAAAAACGAATTAAAAGTTATAGGAGTATTTTTCAGTAAAGTAACTTCATCGGAGGAGCACAGCTGTGCATGTTTTTCTCAGTTTAGTTATTTGAATGTCTATTTCATTGTATGTTTAATGTATTTTTTGTAAGTTTTAATCGTCAATCTACTGTAACAAAAATAATGAGGTTTTTGCCTGTATTACCTGTGATTTTCTGTTTTCAGTCTTATGTTACCAATGAATGTGTTCTCAGGTGGCGATGGTGGAGGTCCAGCTGGAGGATGATCACGAATACCCTCGAGGCTTATTGATTGCTTTCAGTGCCTGCACAACAGTGCTGGTGGCCGTCCATCTCTTTGCCTTGATGATCAGCACATGTATCCTGCCCAACCTGGAGGCCGTGAGCAACGTCCACAACCTCAACTCCATAAAGGAATCGCCACACGAGCGCATGCACCGCCACATCGAGCTGGCTTGGGCCTTCTCCACCGTCATAGGCACCCTCCTCTTTCTTGCAGAGGTGGTTCTTCTCTGCTGGGTGAAGTTTCTCCCTCTGAAGAATAAAAATAAAGATTCTTCTCCGACAGGGAATGTAACTGAATCTCCAGGGATAAGCCCGGGGGAAGCTGCAGCGATCACCTCTACCTCCATTATGGTGCCCTTTGGCTTGGTGTTCATTGTTTTCGCTGTGCATTTCTACCGTTCGCTGGTCAGCCACAAAACGGAACGGCAGCATCGGGAGTTGGAGGTTCTGGACAAAATCACACAGATGCAAAACCAACTGGATCACAGGGGAGACGCGTCCAACCTGTCCTCTTCAGCACATTTCGCCTAGTTGATGCACTTAGTTGTTACCTTGTTCTCATACCAAACAAAATATGGACTGTTGTCATTAATAGACACTAGATGATGGGAATCAGGGATTCTGCAATATGGTAGTATCACAGTATTGTGATGCCTTATGTTTTTCTCGTTAGATTTTTTTAGTGTCCATACAAACATTTATATAGATGGGAAATCTGAAATTTTGCCGGCATATATATTTTGCCAGTATATTTTAATGGCACTTGAGGGCACATGAATTTTAGAAATAATTTTTTTTAATAATAAATAGTGCACTATTCCATTAAAAATAAGAATATGATATGATGATTGGCATCACTGAATTTATTCAATTTAAGGTTAAAATAACATTTAAGCATAACATTCAAAAATTAAATATACTGTTTTGATTCCCTCCCTTCCTTGTCTTGCTCAATTTTTCACTTTGTTTTCAGCGGTTTGGATGCTGCCAGCTTAGAAAATTTATATAGCTGCAGGATTCAAAAGCAAAATAATAAAGATTTAGGCCTTTTTTTTTTACATTCTGATTCGGTAGTTGATTGTATAGGGACACCAGCTGTTTGTCTTTGCCAGAGCTGTTTGTTTGTTTCAGTTCAGTATTTCCTTTTACTGTTAGGCCAAATTATTACACCCAAATGCATAGAAAGTTTTCCAGCGTTATGGTAATCAGTTCATTTTCTTTTTTGTTCAGTTTAACTGCATAAAGTCTAAATATTTTTTCGACATTGTGCAATTAGAATTTTACCTTTTGACAAAATGTCATACTTGCGTGCGTGAAAGTGTAATTGAAAATAACATTTGGTATAACATTTTGTAGACTCGTTTTCATAAACTCACTTAAAAATTGCTGGAATTTTTGTAAATTATATTTTGTGATTCAGTCAATTTGTATGTTGCGTGCGGGTGGCTTCATTTCAATAATTTATGTGCTCAGGCCATATGAAAACATATTGACATTGCTGCTGTTTTTGCCAAAGAGCTTGTGACACTCCAAAGAGAAAGGAAAACTTGAAATCACATCATATGACCCCTTTAAGACCAGAAATAATGCTTTTCTGGAAGGTTTGTCTTGCTTTGACTGAGGTTACAAACAGCTAAAATGTATATTATAAATAGTGTATGTTTTCTTTTTCTCTGTTTGTTCAGCATGTTTTGGTTGTGTGAACACAAAATGTGGACTTTTAAAACAGATATTTTAAAAAGCCTTTTGCTGTGAAGAGCCTTTTGAATTATACTGGTATAATTTGTTTACATATATAGTCTTGTATTAAGAGAAAGATATCTAATAGGTATTTTGCACACCTACTTTAAAGTTATAATAAAATAAAAGATGAGCAGTCATTTTTAGACTATTTAGAAGATATTTAAATTTTTCAGGCCACCTTGTTTGTATACATCATATATCTTCTGATATTACAACAGTTGCTCATTGACTTGTTTGATAGTACATCTTTGAAAAGTCAATTTTTGCGCTTGTGACAACAAGGTACTATTCACAATTTTTATAACTAGATACATTTTGCTGGTAGTGTTTTACTGGCAGACACCTTTTGTTTCTGTGCCATTTCATAAGAAAGTACCTCTGATGTTGTGACAGTTATGGATTGCGTTTATAAAGAAAAGAAATCAGTGCATTGTTTTCATATTTTATATACAGATACATTTTTACCCTGTGAGCATCTGGGCTGCTATTCTTTGTAAACCTATTAATATCCCCACTTAATGAAGGTTAAATGAAACCTAATGTGCATATTTCTTGATTTTATAAGATGCTAGAGTTGGGAGATGATGTTTTATATTATGGTACTTTTTTGTCAAAAGTATTTGTCAAGTAGAAAATGTGCATTTGCCAAATAAAAATGTGTAAGTGAAAAAGTGCTGACTGTTTCTTGTGTAAGAACCGTTTTAAGAGGGTTAGCTGAGTAGAATTTTATTTTATTTTTCTTCCAGTAGGCTAACTGTTTCAAACATTACCAAGAAAAATATACCAGGTGCCCTTTTGAATCTTGTCTCGCATTAGATTCACTCTTGATAGGGCAACCAGAGCTCCATGCCACACAGGCGTGTTTTTGCTGGTCAGTAAACCCTTATTTTGATCAAGTCATGCTACTAGTGCACAATGCGCATTGAACAAGAAAAAATACTAAATGGCCATAGGATTTGAATTTGTGAGATCCGTGCGCCCCCTTGAGGAAGACAACTGAACATCTAAAGTTATAAACGCTTCTTTCTCCATCGTACGTACGTACTACATATATATATATATATATATATATATATATATATATATATATATATATATATATATATATATATATATATATACTATATATATTTTTTGTTAAATGCAGGGAGACAATGCTGCGATTACACTTACTGAGACTATGAAAAAGAAAATAAAGATTGAAGATATCAGTGATTACTGGAAAATTATCCAGGAAGACAAAATATTTTGTACACATATGTGTGCGTGCGCGTGTGTGTGTGGATGTATGTGTGTACGTGATTAAAACTATACAGACATTGCATAGACAAAAACAACATAAAACGAAAACAGAAATTATAAAAATATAGTCTTATTCAAGATAATAACAAAATGATACTAAATGAACACTGCTTCGATCTCAACGTTCATTAAATGCATATAAAAAAGAATGCTGTTCAAGATGCAAGTCTTCTTGACCGATTATAAAATAGGCTACAACTTGTAACGCATTGCTTTCATCAGCAGATGGCAGTGTTGACCAGGTTCATGAAGAGCAAGACCTCCAAAAGGCTTCAGTACCTTGTGTATTTGAACTACAGCTGATTAGGAAAGCTGGAAAATATACCTCAAGAGCTACCTTAATAGCTAGTTGCAACCTCTATTCCTATGTTTCATGGATATTAATGATACGTATTTGTTTCCGAGAGCCTTGTGCTGCTGTCATGCTATATGTGACATTTCTACAGTGAAATAATGATGGGCATTTAGCTTATTCTTTGGCTCCTGGCTGATTTTCTGGGTCTTTCTGCTGGAGGTGCAGGTGAGCCTGAGTTCATGACTGCTTCATTGTGTTTGTTCGGTTGCGTATCGACCCTGAAACGATGCTCAGGGTGATCAGTGATGTCTCTGTTATCTTAAGCGTGACTGTGTTGGTATGCTGCTTTGCTTCTCAAGACATTCAAAGAGGGTCATCTCTCTCTCCCCCTATCTTTCTCTTTCTCTCTCTCTCTCTCTCTCTCTCGCTCTGTTTCTGCTCACTTCCCGTCACTCTATAGCTTTGATGGGGTGCCATGTATCTCTCACACTGGAGGTCTTTTCATTGGGAGCACCTGTCGGGAGGAAGTAGGGAATGGCGGTTTGTTGTTACAGGCAGGGAATTGACAGCAATGGCCAGATGAGGCAGAAGTGTGTGTCTATTTGTGTGTGTGTGAAGGGAAAGAGATGTCTGCTTGGTGACAGATGAAGAAAGAGAGGTGAGAAGTGGAGGGTAAAAGACTGCAAAAGAGCTCCAGTCAGTTTGGACGCAGTTTTGTGTGTTGGTGGTTTTGACTGAATTTAAACAGAACAAGAAGATGCAAACACACACGCTTTTTTAAATGGGGACATTCCATAGGCCAGGGGTTTTCAAACTGGAGTCCATGGACCCCCATGGGGCTGCAAGTGAGTGCTAGGGGGTCCAGGAAAAGTTTGGAGAATTCTTTTTTTAAATAATGAAAAATAAATAGATAATAAAAAGATTAAACTACCTAACATTCCAAATAAATTGATCATTTAAATAAAATACACAAAAATAAATAAAGAAATTTAAATAAAGAAATAATTAATCTAAGAGTACAGTACCAGAGTAAGTAAATAATAATAATAATAATAATGCACCATACTAGAAACAAAATATTTTCCAAATAATTGTAATATTTTTCACAGTATAAACTTACTATATATATATCTGCTTTTAAATTTTAGTATGGGGTCCCTTACACCATGATCATATTTGGGGGTCCGTGGTATTTAAAGACTGAAAACCCCTGACATATATAATATTAAATATAATATTTATCTATTTTTTTCTAAATTAGGACAAGCAGATTTACAAATGTTCAGATTTAGCTCACTTCTAGGTACAAATTTGTCAAAATATCAAATGTGTAAATTAGGGCTGTAATTTTTTTATTATTATATTATCTGCTATTGTACTTTATTAATATCTACATACATGATACATACATGATATTAAAATCTTTGACTTCATTTTAATTTGCATTAGACTTTGATGATTTGTATAATTCTATTATTTGCTCTTTTTGAGATTTTGGCCAGATAAACTGGTCGAATATTTAGTTAAATGGTGCATAATCAGTGTTAAATAATTATCGTAAAATTAGATGTGAAAAATTAAGTCTTGGTGATTCTTGGTATGAAAATAATGCAATATAATAAAATATACTCCCATACTGTTCATCTACACTGTTAAAAATTAAGGTTCTTTACTGACATCTATTATAGTTCCATGAAGAACCTTTAACATCCATCAAATCTTTAATTTTTAAAACAAATGGTTCTTTATAGTGGAAAGGCTCTTAAGAATGATAAAATCTTTATTCACACAAAGAAAAAAAAAGAGGTTATTTTAACACTGTTTTTGGGGAACCCAGAATGGTTCTTCTGATGCATCTTTGTTAAAACTTACCTTTGAAATGTTTATTTTGTTAAAAAGTTTATTAAAGGTGTTGACCCAATTTTTGTTAGCAAACAAGAGGAGACGAGTGGAATGCAATAGCACAAATTTAGTCTGTTTGAACACCTGTATGTGAGTGTGTGTTGGAGTGTTTAAGGCCGGATCTGGATGCAGAGACGACTCATCCTTCCTCCTGGAGCTACAAAGAGGCCGTTTAGGTGCTCGTGAGAGGATGGCATTGTGCGGGCCGACCATCCCTGGCTGCCCGTTAGAGAGCTAAATGATTCTGCTCTCACTGCCAGTCCAGCTGGCCACTCATACAGACACACTCATATAAAAACACCACATCCTCCCGCCAAAATCACCATCAGATACAGCCACATCGCCCTCCAGTGAAAGACAGACAGACACTTATGTGCAATCTTTCGTAATATTGTTTCATAATAATTATTAATACTTTTTGCAGATTTGTTTACTTCTCATTGTGGGTGCATGATGGAATTATGAATGCGTTGCGACTGCAGTGTGCATTTCTTGCACATTAAGTTTAACTGGTCAAATCCTGAC